AGTCTCCCCTTTGAACACAAAACAATAACATTAGATGCAGTTAATTTGTTCTATTATTGTCTTGTGGGCCACAAATAGGCAGTTTATTTTGTGTGTTCTGCTAATGCTTGCTTCTTTCAAATACAAGCATAAAAGCACAAAAAGCAGTATCTAAGGTTTGAGGGAGGTTCTGGGGGGGGGGTTATTTCTCATGATTTCAGCACCCCCAGTTCCCTTACCTTCTGCACTTACTGTTGTGTTCTGGATTTTTCTTCCTCGCATGCAGTTTCCCAAATTGTCTGACATCCACCCACTGAATTAGTTACAAAAAAGCAAAATACATGTTTGAGATATTCAGTGTTAAATCTGTTTGCCTCTGTCTGCCTGGTATTCCAAAAAGATATTTACCAAAAGAAAAAATAATAATTCAGGATTTAGTTGGATCTGTTGAAATTTGTCTGCAACACATATATGTTAATTGCACAGATAGGTTAGAGGTTTCTTATCCGAGTTCTTTAGATGCAGAAGAGTGACCACTTCTGCTCAGCTGGCTACTGGCACATAAAACCCTTGGGTTCCTGAAATTAACCCAAAATAGAGTTCAAAGCCAATGGTTAATGTGTATCTAAGGGTTTAATGTGAGGTGGTTCTGAGATACTTTAACAATGGAAACAAGGATGGACTACTAGTTTGGGCAAGGAAAAAATACCTCTTTTAACCAGACTGTTGGTAGCGATCCCATTTCATGCAGGCTATGTTTTAATCCTGGCTGAAGAAATCTACTGTGATCATTTAAAAACTCTTAATAAATTTTCCTGCTAAGACTGCTGTGTTATTGTTTTCTTAGCTTACAGGTTGGGAATGGTTCAGGTTTCTAACAAAAACATCAAATTATGTTTGTTGATACTGCTGTTTGCCTCTGATGCAAAGGTGTGCCTGTATGTTTAGGTCATAGCAGGATCAATGGCAAATCACAGTTTACGCTTCTCCAGGACATGGTAGTGATAGTAAATATGATTAAAACAAAATTATGCCACCACATGCTCAGGAAATGTCCCATATCAGTAACACTTGTCAATGAATGTGACGCTACTGTTGTATAAACTTCACGTTTCCACTTTGCTCTTGGATTGTATGTCGACTTAAAATGATAAAGGCAAAGTCTGTTACGTATACCAGCTCAGGCCTCTGGCATTTATCTCCTACAGTTATTGGCATGAGAACTGTTCTGAGTATATCAAGAATGAAGTACTCCAGTCTGTGCAGAGCCATTACCAAGTTATAGGAAAAAAAAAACTTGTAAGCAGTATATAAACACTATTTTCACTTAGCTGGAGGCTCTCAGAATGATTTACCTGTCATGGTAGATTATAATATTTTAGTTTTGTGGGGTTTTTTAACAGCATTCTCTCTCAATTTGATTGGTGTAAATATAATTTTCAATACAATGGCATTCTTAGTTTGCGCATCAGAACTTATTTTTGTTAAGCTGCATACATGACATCCTGATCTTTGTCCAATTGCACAGTGAATTTTTTTATGTTCTTGGAGCAAGATTAATTGAGGGGATTGCTGTTTTATTCTGTCATTGGAAAGGAGGTTTTGCTCCTCTTTAATGATTTTTTTTTTCTTGTTTATTTTTGCAAAGTAGAATTATAAGGAGTCTTTCCTGGATGTGCAATGATGAGAATGGACTAAGTGATATAATAGCTTGCTTTTATCTACTCTCTGTTTTCACCAAGAGTAAAATGGAAAATAATTGGGTCAAGTGTTACAGAGGGTGGGGTTTTTTTGCTTTGTTTTTTGTCTTAGGAAATTATGTTTTTAGTATTTTACCAGGTAATTGGGAAAGATTTCCTAATTCCAAAATTTTTTTTTTCTCTTATTTATCCCAGTGACATCATACTATTCGAGCCCCAAAGCAATACTTATACCCTGGATTTTGAGAAAGGTTATGTTTACTTTTTTTTATGTAATGCTGCTCTAAAACTTCATTTATTCATCAAGTGTCATATCTTCTTAAAGCAAAAATAACAAAGAGTGGCGGTTAAGAAGCTGTTAGATGATATGCCAGTTACAGTGGCAAAAGAAAAAAGTATTCTATTTTTTATTGTTCAGAAGAACTTAAAGAAGGCAGATATGATCTCCAAATTAGTATCAATCAAAAAGTGTATTTAATCAGTTTCATTTCTATAGTGTGATATATTTAGAATTCTTCTTGAAAGGTAAAAGTCTTTAAATTATACTTTGCATTTATGTGTTTATGCTGTTTAATCTGGATGTGTTGGTGTGTGCATTAGATCCACTTCTAGCTTTCCCTCTGGATGCACGTGTGTTGGTCTGAATATTTGTTCATTTGTGCATCCCACTAAGGGGAGTGTGGGGGTGTGTGTATGGGGGTGTGTATATATATATATATATATAAACATATATATAAAATATCAACCTAAGCTTGTTTCTTCTTGTCCATATTTTGTTTTAAAAGTATGTTAAAAGACTCTGTATTATTAAAAGAAGCATGCAGTTCTATTGGTAATAATAAAGCCTAATCTGAAAGTTCTGTTTCTTTAAATGTGTAATGTGAGAGTTTAGGTGGGGGAGCTATTCTGCATCAGTATTTTTGGCAAGCTGATAGTTTGCTTAATAGTGAAGGAAAATGAGTCAAAATTGTAAGCAATGGCTAACTTACCTCTTAAAGTCTGCAAGAGGTATTCTTCTACGTCTTTCTCGTTTATAACTTTCCCTCTGTATCGGTGGTGTTGATCTTGATTAAAAGGCTTTTTAATCCAAGCTAGTTCTCTTGGAAAGTCAGGCAGATCGATTTCCATGATGCTGAAAAGATGGATGCTAAGCATAAAACTTTGAACTTTGGTATTAAAAGAAATGGTCCTTGATTATGTTGGTTTGTGGGGTTTGTTGGTGTCTTTTTTTCTTTTTCTTCTTCTTACTCCTTGGCCAAAGGTAAGAGTTAGTAAAACAAGAACGATGGATTTTGAAGACTTATGCTTTTAAGTGCAGAACTCGGGGACAAAGTGCTGTCCTCTGGGGGCTTGTTATTTTGTCATTAATTAAATACTCTTGTAGTCAGAACAGCCAAAGAAAAAAGAGTTACCTTACTGCAGATGGCTTCTAAAATTTTTTTGAAAGAGCTCCTGACTACTTTCAAATCAGGGTATCCTTACCCTTATGGAGAAAGTGTCTCATTATTCCCCTCTAACCACCAGGCTGGCAATGCTGTGAGTTTAACCTATCTCTGTGATTGCTGTAGCTGAGTTGCTCTCCAGCAAGCACATTAGCTTAGTCTTTTAGTCTGAGATAAGAAAGGAGCCTGTTCTTGACACCTTTATAGCACAAGAAGCAATACAAGCTAGGGGGAGGGGAGGAACCACTGAAAGCTGTTAAGTAGTGCTAAAAATATTTTGTATGACCTGAAAGATGACACTAACTGGAAGGATTTTTCTGCTCTGGTTCAGTGTTGCAAAGTGGTAATCCCTCTCATTCCACGCTATGCTTTGTCAGATGGCAGAGTTTGTTAAAATGTTCCCACTCCTGGATGCTATTTGCCACCTTCTGAGTTGCTCTAGTGCAACTGCTTGTGGTATTGTCCTGGGAACTGTATCTGTGAAATGCTTTTAAATATTCAAAACAAAAAGAATTTTTTTTTTAATTCTAACTATTTATAAGTCGATGTGGCAGGCTGATATTCGTAGTGAGGAACACAGGAAAAGGAAACGACTCAATGAGGAAGAGATTAGGGCTGAGTGTCTGAGGAAAGGTGGCATTTCAACTAACCTTACTACTGGAAAAAATGAGCTTTGGGACAGATTATATGCATTTCTCTTCTGTAATATTTCTGGAATGTCATTTAAAATAGAGGAAGCTTCATCAGGTGGATATATCAAATTTTCTTGCAATGACTGAGGAGTTGGTTTGTTTTCTTATGGGAGACAGGGTTGAGTTAGTTTCCGTGATTATGCTACAGGATGGATTCCAAAACATGCATCCTTTCTTTGCAGAGAGAGTTTGAAAGGTCATGTTGCTCCGCTTGTCACTGTGTGGCAACATCTTAATTGGACCTGTAAAATAAAGCTTTTCTCTCTCTTTCCATCTGCCCTTTAAACTAGATAAGATAACTTTTAAAACAGATCCTCTTTTTGAATCAGATGAAGATATGGCTACGTGAATGGCTACATTGCCAAAGGCAAGAGAGTGCGACTGTCTGGAATGTCTCAAACTAGCATTGCTGATGAATTCCCTATATATTTCTTTTGGCACAGTATTCTCAGGCTACAGCTTTATGAATGCTTTAAGTTTTGCCTTACTGTGCTGCCCCCAGCTTCTTGTTCCTGCCCTCTCTCTTGTGCCAGAAAGTATGTTTGTGAAGCTGATGCGAAAACAGTATCAGGGAACTAGTCTGCATTTAAAAGGACCCAGGTGACCCGAGGGAAAGGGTGGACTGGAGTAGAATGAGCAGGAAGGTTGTGAGAACGCGAGGGTGGTGACAGTGCTTCTTTCTGCTCACTTAAAACGAAACTTTAAGTGAAACTACAGATTTGGGATGCAGCTTCATTTTTATCTTTAAACCGCAGTCTTCTGCTAAAGAGTAAGGCCTCTGTTGCGCTTTCCTGTTGGCTGCTCTTGTGTCCGATCTAGCAGTGCGGCGGCCACAGAACGCGCTGCCACGCTGGGCTGACCTGACTGCCCCGCGAAGCGATGGAAGCAGAATGTAGAAGAGAGATGGCAAGATTATTCCTTTTGGTGCCAGCCAGCTGTTAGACTTGAGCGACTTGAGTGGAAGATTTCTGTGATGTGTGTATTCTCTTTGCTTTTCTGTAGAAATTTCAGTCAAGTTTTAATGACTGATTCAGTCAAGTTCGGGGAGGAAGAGTTGAGTGTTACATGTCTAGATAAATATTTGTGGATTGGGGTGTTTCTAATGAAGTGACTTACATAACTTGCCTAGGTGTCTAATGTCAGAGAACAATTTAGATGAAGATAACTAATTTCTTCTTTTAATATTATGAAGTTTAATTTGGCTGTGAAGTGGGCTATTCTTTACTTCATGTATGTCAGCCTAGTGCAAATCCAGCTGAAATATGTTGCTAGTGATGATTACAGGCTCTTTCTACTTGATTACTAAAGATGCTGCCCCAGCATTCAGCATGGAAAGGCTGAAGCAGAAGTCTTGGACTAGATGAAAAATGAGTAACACTTAATTGAGTGACCTCTCTTGAAAGAAATTGTTGAAGAACTGTAGTAGAAATATACTCAGACATACGAACATTGAGCTAGCATTTATGCTAGACGTAATAAAAAGATCACACATTTGAAAAGAACTGCTAAATAGCAACTCTGACTTTTAAAAAACTTTCATAGATAAAACTGCAAGCACGAAAGACATGCATCAAATATAGTCATGCTTTCTGGGGGAGCTTCTGGGGTGAGTGAGCTGAGCTGGTAATACAAATGAGCCTTTTCAAAAGGAGGTGAACATTCCAGTCTGGACCATAACTAAATTCACACTCAGGCTTACTTGTTAGTAATCTTCTTTACATCGTTATAGTACTATTAATGTTTTGTAGTGACTCCCTATGATTGTTTGCCAGTAGTACACAGTATGGGAGAGGGAACCGATACTGTGTAGACAGAACTGAGATTTGGATCTACTTCTGGTCTTCTGTATGTCTGTTTCTGGCAGAATTGAGTGTGACTTTTATCATTTCTCCCATCAAGCTAGGTTTCTTATCTTTATTCCTTCAGCATGTATGCCTCTTGTATGCTTTTGAAGAAGCTTTCTTCTCTTGGCATTTTGCCTGATAAAGGAATCGGGGAAGGGAAAGGGCTTTTCTTAAGCATTAAAATATGCTCCATGTCTAAAGAAATAGCTCTAACTGAAATGCTTTCAAGTTTCAGTGCATTGGACAACACAGTTGTTTTAAACTGTACGTTTTCCTAAATATTTCATAAACATTGGCTATATGTATGAATTTCTTTTATTGGCTTATTCTCTTTCAAGAAAAAATGTTTCTTAAATGGTACTATATTGGGTTTTTTCCTCTATAACCTGAAAAGCTTTCTTTCCTGTTATCAAAGCTCTAACTTCTCAAGACTCAAATACCAAAGCATAGTTGTTTTTTAAAAAATAAAAATTAAAAGACAAGACAAAGTAGAGATTCAGTTTGTCTTAGGATATTATTATGGAAATAAGGTGTGTGTGTGTGTGACTTTCTCAGGGTTTTGGTCCAAAACAGTAAGCCTGGCATAACTAGAAGGTCTAGAGAATAATTTTTGGAAAATAATCCCCCTCTTTGCCATGGTTTGAAATAATTTTAACTGGGCTTTGGTTGAGTGTTTTGTTTTTTGTTAGTGTTTTGAGGAAAAGAATGGATTCTACTTGGGGTGATGGTAGGAACGGGCAACTTGTGTCTAGGTAGAAAAGGCTATGTATTCGCATTTTTAAAAACTCATTCTTTTCCTTCCCTTTAAATAATCTTTTACAATCAGGTGATGATTTCAACTTCATAAAAATGTTGACATGAACTGCAGAAATAAGTTTTAGAGGGTAACTTAAAAGTTTTTGGAAATAAAAATTTTTTCATGAAAACATATGAACAGTGTGTAATTGCCTTTAATATAGTTGCATGCTCTGCATTGATGCATTTGATAGGTGAACCAAGATTTAAAGTAACCTGCTTTGTGTAATGGATTAAATACAATCCTGAAAAGAGTTCTGCAAATGTGTTGTGTTGGCACAGCTGAGGGGACAGGATGAGTTGGGGGGGGGGGGGGGGGGGTATGGTGGACTTGCTGATGAAGAAAAGCTGCTGACTCTGGGGTTTCTTTTCAGCTGAGTGATCAGGCTCTAACTTGGCCCACTCTCGCTGGAACTTCAGTTACCCAGAAAGCCAAAACTGTACTGGTGCTTTGCAGAACTGGAGCCTTTTTGAACTCATTGGTTTGCTCCTGCTATATTTAAAGAGTAGAGCTCAACATTAATTCGAGTTTTAAGTAGCTCTGTGAATGTCACAGTATGACTGGAGTGTTGGTACTACTTTCTTCCTATACAATTACTATTTTACAAAAAGCATTTTGAGAGGGAAGGTACCAAGGCGCCAGTGACTGAACTGCCACACTGTAGCTGAACTTCAGAAATTGACAAATGTAACAAATGGGCATTTACAACCTGTATAGGTGTTCCTTACCCTAATTTAAATGGTAGAACCAATAATTAAAAACATAAGGCCGCCACTGTAGTGAGAAGACGTCTGATATTTAAAACTTATTTTTCTTGCCACTTGCATTTGTGAACAAATATCAACATGCTTTAATTTAATCTAAATGACATTTTACTTGTATTTGTGCACATGCTACATCTAATTACTTTATAAGTGCTCATCATATGCGGAACATTTGAGTGGAAATTGATGGTAATTCATATGCTGCAGAGCTAGTAGGTTGCTATTTCTTTCTTTCATGCTGATCTGTTTGCTTTTTTGTTTTTTAAACTTTTGTCTTACACTTGCTTTTTCCCTTCTTATTTTCAAGTGTCGATTTACAGTATCTGGTTTTATGACAAGAATGACTGTCATCGAATAGCAAAACTCATGGCTAAGTAAGTATCTTGGTCTTGTTGTACTGTAACTCTTTCAAGTAATACAGTAAAGACAAAATTAAAAGAACTTCTTACATGTTTTCCATCCTTCTCTCCCCATGAAAAAATACGGTGTTACTGCTACTGTTTTTTGGGGGAAATTCAAACAATATATATTAAGTAAGTGAACACTTTAACACTATAGTTTAAGGTTAAAGCATTAATGTGGAATTGTCTAAAGACAGCAAGTATTCACATTTGTTTGTATTTTATACCTTGTCTTGTATAAGGATGGTTAGAGCAGAGTAACACCATGGCAAGTGATGGCTACGTTTTTTTCCTTTTTTTTTTTTTTTTTTAAAAACTTTATTCCTGACTAGAAGTGAAGAGATGTGAGAAGTAGGTGGAATCTTACAGAGTTAAAATGAAGTTAGAGAGCAGGCAAAACTTTGAAGTCATAGAAGCTTGTTGTTGCTGGACCTGTGGATTGCTGTTCAAGGTTATGGGTTTTCTTTTTATGGAAATAAAGTTGATTTACCAAGCTGCCATGTCACTACTTCTCATTTTGTAGTTCACGGGGCTCTCAGATGCAGAGGCCGTGCAACAGATGAATCTCTGAAATGATCTCAGTTAAAAGAAACCCTTAAAAGGTTATATATCTTTACAATAATATGGTTTTGTTAACGCATTAATGCATGTGTACCATAGAGAGTTGCACTGGCATAGCTGAGGAGGGATTCAGACTAGTCTACAGAAGTTGCAGTGAACAACGGAGGTCAGGAAGGTGGGAACTGGTTGAGCTGGTTTTGCTGCCAGAGAATGGGTATTGTTTTCTGGAATTAGGGGAGGGGGAACGTAATGATTTATGTAGAACTTAGTAGTCCAGCTGATACTATTAATCCTCACTTAAAACTTGAGGGATATAGTTAATGTATTTGAGTAAGACTTGATGTGAAATCTGTTGAACAACACAGACTTATTTTGGGTAATTATGAAGATTTGTATCTAAGAGTTCACTTGATTAAGTGGGAATAGTATATTCCATGGCTGTTATCAGTAGTCTTTCAACCAGCTCTTTTTTTTTTCTTTTTTTTTTTTTTGTAATCAAATGTTTCTTGCAAAACAAACAAACAGAAAACTTAGCATCTGATAGGGTAATTCAGTGCAACAAAAATGCAAAATTGCAGATGTACTGCACAGGGTACCTACTCTTCCCTTGTTCTCTGCTTTACTTTTCTTGGCCATCATTCTTTAGTTTTAGAACTTTTTCTATTGTATGTTTTAATGGGCATGTCATGTCTTGCAAATCATGACATCCTGAAGACAGATGAAACTTCATAAAATGCGAAGTAGTCACAGTATAAACATTTAATTAAGACTTGTTAGTGGGTGTTTTCCTCTCTCCCCTTCCCATCCCGTCCCACAGAAGCAATGTATGACAACACAAATGGCAGACTACAATATAAAAGTCTCTTCTTATTTTTTCTGTCTCATCCTGATAAGCCCATACTGTTTCCACTTCTTCTCCCCCTCTCCCTCCCACCCCAGCAGTGTTGGACGTTTTGCTGTTATTTGGCTCATGCAAATACAAGGATTAACAGGAAACAACTAAGTGAAAATGAATCTAAGAAATTAAGTTATTTTAAAGCAAAATTTAAAAAGTTGAAGTAAAACAATAGAATGAAAAGTTTGTGTCATCTCTTCTGTCAGTCAGATGCCAAGAATTTGAGTGTACAAATTTATCTACAAACAAAATGTACAGTAGGGTCATACACATTAGGGGTTGAAAACAACAAGTAAAGAAGCAAAGGTGCACAAGATGTGTGCTAGATATGAGTAATAAAAAACTACTGGGGTTAATTAATCGGGGACTAGATTATTGGGTACTCGTATGTACATGTGTACACACTTGTGTGTATGTGTGTGCATACATGTAAATGCACACAGATTCATACGTGTGATGCTACATTTACTATATTCATGGTGAGACCAGCTGTTTGTTTTTGTCCTTTAAACTGCAACTTTGTTTTCTCACCTGAAAGTAAGATTGAGACTATCAAAGTTGTTAAAAGATAGTGGAAATGGAAGAGGAGGGGAATATCCAAAACCCAATAGCTAGCTAGTATAGGTTCAGTGATTAGGAATCATCCAATGATTATTAACTTTTAAAATTAGTGGCAAGCTTGCCCCTCTACTCTAAAAACAGAGTATTAGAAGGGAAGGTTTTTTGTGATGCACCTTTTAGTTAAAAATCATGACAAATATTTGGAGTGGGAGTAATAGGCAAACCCTTCAAACTCTACTGTTGTCTTATCGTCCTGCACGGCTACACCGCAGATCTAAGCGTCATATAGGAAAACTTGAATTTATTTGGTATTAAACTAGTGTAGTTGCTATAGCGTGGATCATGAGATACAGATACTTCAGAGTTCTTTAAAAGTTTAACCAGGTAACAGAGCAGCCTAGCCATGGCATAACAGTCTGTGAAGAGACGCTTACTCTTGTTGCTGGATTCTGTAGTATTCTGGAAATACTGTGGCCCAGTGAATTCGTACCCAAGCTGGCTTTGAATCGTCCACTCTTTATTGCCATCTGTTTTGTAAACTACTGTAGCCTGTTCCCCTCCACCCTTCTCCCCCCCCACACTTCTCTGTTTTTACTGGAGTTTTACTAATGCACAGAGACAAGTAGAAACGTCAAAGTTGATGTAATTATATCACCCCTGTTTGTTACACTTACCCACACCCTTGTGAGTGTAGCATCTCAGCACCCTGGAAAATTTCTGTGACTGCAAATGATTTTGGAAGGTAAAAAAAGCTGTAATGTATTTTTTCTAAATGTATAAGAATTTTGCACTAGATATTGGAATGCTTGTGAATTAAGAGTATATTTGAAACTAAAATTAGAGTTGTTAATGTATCAAGCAGATTTTGGAGAACGTTTCTTGCGAGTAGTCACTTCAGTGAAACTAGAGAAAACAATTTTATACATGTAAAGATTTATTGCCTGGATTTTGACAGAACACAGGCGGATGAATTTTGCTGAGCTAGCTAAGGCCTCACATTAATATGATTTTAGCCTTTACTGCAGTTTACTTGGTCAAAAAAGGTGCAAGTAATACTTTTCTAGCCAAAGTACTGCTAGTAAGTCTTTTCTTTTTTTTTTTTTTAAATAAAGCCTTTTTTCTTTTTATTATTAGTTTATAGAATGTCTAAATACTTTTTTTTTTTTTTAAATGAGCAGTGGTTTCGGGGTTTCAAAAATGTTTGCAGAAATGATTTTTATCCTGAGAGATGTATTTAGGGTATGTATACTACTTATTTTTCAAAAATTGCCTGTGGAATGAAACCATGTTTCATTTGATACAGTATGTCTTACAGGTTTCTGAGTAGCTAAAGATGAAGAACTAAGAAAAAGGAAATGAAGGAGCTCTAGTTGTGCGTTGTTGTAGAATGGAAAAGCTTGACTTCTGAGGCTGTAGTTACAAACTTTACAAAAAAGTGGATTGACACTCTTCTGCTGACACCGCTTTCTGCAAACTTCATGTTTCCTCTCCCCCGAAATGGGTAGAAAGCGGCAAGAAGAAAGCTTGATCTTGATATTTCCCCCTCACCCTTCCCTACAAGGAGTCTGAAACTGCCAGAATTTTTTTCATGCTGGGATGAAAGATGTATTTAGGAGGGGGAGGATTATTAGTATTTAATAAACAAATAGTAGGTTATTAATAGTGTACTTAAAACTGAAACTTCAACAAGTAAAGTGGCATTTCAGCAAAAGGCAACAGGCCCTATCAGGCCTAGTTCAGTATATTTCAAATAAGGGGTTATATGCTAATTTCCAGGAATGTTCATTTTGTTCAACAGATTATACCCTTTTACTTTCACAGGGGTAGGAGGGGGGCTTCCCTATCACTTACAGGGAAGGGTACTGCTTTTGTAGTACCTCAGAGCTTCAAAAACATAACCATAAAAGGTTTCAAGGAGATTTGCATTCTCTTTCCTGCTGGTTGACTTGACCTTATTGTGCCAGATTGAGTTAACAAGATTGCAGGCCATCCATTTATATTTTGGTGGCTTATCTTTCAAAGGAAAACTACATTACTCTTCGTAGGCTTTGTAATCACCGACCTTCACTTCTCACGTTCTCTCGCTCACTGTGCTCTGAGGTTGTGCCAGGTATATTTTCAATGCAGATATAGTTGCAGATACTCTTGAGCAAACTCTCACAGCAGCTATTGTGTCTCTGAAGGAACGTGTTCCTTTTCCGCTATCTGATATAATGGAGACAGTAGGCATTACTTTAAAAAGATTTAATCCTGATTCTGCACAGGGCATGCTCAGTGTACAGATTTGCATTTAGCAGTAGCTTTTTCTTTTGACTTATTTTCCCAGCTCAGCAAAGGTGCTTGATTTAAAGCATTTAAAAACAAAAACTTACTTTTTAAAAAGAATCCCAGAGCTTTCTGGAGTGAGAAAGTTTGATAGAAGTGGTCAAACTGGTAACTTTGGAAGGAATTAGTTTGGGCGAGGTTGAGTCAAGATGATGACTGTTTATGAAAGGAGAGCTTTCCAGAAATAGGATTAAAATCCCAGGTTTTTTTGTTTGGTTGTTTCAAGGTTTTCCAACATTCACGCCTGTGTGAAACTTTATTACATGCTGACATATAGATTGTACTCTTGTATTTTGAGACTAGTTGATAGGCTTGTTCTACCCTGTTTCATACAACTGGACCTAAACTTGCTTCTGAGGTACAGGCAGTAAGCTAGAGGTGGGAAGAAGATCTCAGAGTTTTGGGGGGGGAATACTGCTTTGTATTTACTCCTTCACTGCCATTTGAGTGTAACCTGCACGAGGCAAAGCATGGAGGAAGAGCCATTAGCCATTCATCTACGTGAGAAGGTAGTTTCATTGCTATGATTCTTTAGAAAATACAAGTAAACTTTAAAAAGATAAGAAACTTCTTAAGGGGCGATAAGAAAAATACTGTGAAATATTTTTGCAGAAATCTTTGTGCAACGTTTCTGTGAAATGGATACACTCCTTGAAAATGCTTTGCTTTGAGACCAGTGAGTAATATGTTTAACGGAAGGTGTTCTGTTTTAAAAACTTTCAAACCAACTAGTTGAGAGCAGAAAGTTTCTGAAGACTCAAGCCTTCACTTCACCTACGAGGCAGCGCATGCATGAATGTCTGGAATTTGCCCTTTAACTGCAGTACTTATTTATCCTGATATAGCTATGCTGACACTTTTCTAAATCTCAGCAAAGTATTCTGGTTCTTTTATCTTGCCCTTTCTCATCCCTACTTTTGGAGTTGAGTTTAGACAAGTCCTAAGTCAGGACTGTATGACCGTGTGGGGTGCTAGAACAAAATGTTCTCTGAGGGTATTGCCATAGAAACATTTGCACGGTATTGAGCTGCTTCATCCAAGCCAGCACATGCTGCAGCTGTTAGACATTTTCTCACAGGGTGCGGATTGGCCTTCACAGTCCGAGTTACGCTTGCAGGTGAATGCTTGTCTACAAACAGCGAGAAAGCTGTATTGCCTAGTAAGAAGCTGGTTAAATAAGTGCCTTGTGGGTATGATTGTATGGTTAAAAGCTTTGAAAGTAATTTTCCTGGGCAAAATTAAATTTTAAAAGCCAACTCTAATCTTTCTTCAAATAAACACAGCTAAACTCTAGTGAGATAAAATTGGCATGGCTGCAGGAAAATTGAGGAATTCCTAGGACTTGCACTCTTTTCCTCAAAAATGACAACAGAGTAACATATGAATATCTATTTACTCAACAGTCTATAAAATACAGTTATTCCAGCATCCGAACTGGACTGAGTAAAGCGAGTGCCTGACTGACTGACACTGTGCGTGATTGTTGCGATGGCACCGCTCGGCTCTCCCGTCAGCTATTAGTTCCACCGCGTGAGCGTTCTCAAGTGACGTGCCAGCTCCAAAGCTCTACGCTGTTCACAATGCTTGTTTTTTCTTAACATATTTGATTAATACAGGCTTAAAAAAGAGGAGATTACAGGCTGGTTTGTGCTTATGTCAAGAGGATAAGCTTTAGTGCATTGCATAGCCATGTATATCTTGTGAACTGCATATGGATTAGGAGTGGAAATGTATGCTGCCTTTACTTTTGTAAATGAAATGCACAAGGTACACATCCTTTTTTTTGCATACGTTAACCATCTTTTCAGCTTTCTGATACTCAAGGCGGTAAAAGTGGTGAGTGAACAGTAGGCCCCAAAGGCCGGAGGAAAAGAGATGTAGAGCTGCAGTAAGTGGAATGACTGTAGGGCAGTTAGAGAAGAAAACAGCTTGCTTTTCCCAGAGTTTTGAGGGGAAAGTAAGGGGTAGCTGTATGGGTAGCTCCTTACAGACTCACTGCAGAGATGTGTGGTGTGAGCCAGCTCTCTTCTGCAGTGTCTTTGTGGTGTTTTATAATGGTAGATCTGATTCTAATTTACAATTGGTTTATAATTGATTTTTGTTGAATAACATGGCATGAATTGACTAAATAAGGGAAAAACTGCGTGTTAGGAAGTAGAGAGTAAAAAATTTATTTTATTCAGTCTATGGTATAATGCATATGCTCTTTGTATAATATGTGTTTGGGTGTCCACATATTTTTACTGTAAAACTGTCTAAATATGACAGTTTTGCAGAGGTGTTTACTGTAGGCAAACTTTGTGAGAAATGGACCAGTGCTGTCTGGATTAGAGCTAAATTGTACAGACCATTTGATAGTTTGACTTGTATAAACCTTGTAGCAAATGAAAACTTGTGTAACTTGGGTCAGCTATGTGTTAGGTTTTTATTCAGGCAGAACAAAATGTTTTTATATGTTGGGAGTGCATTCTTCTTTACTGCTTTTTGCAAGATGTTTATTCCAGATAGTATTTTGAAATCATGTTCTTCCTTTCCTGTTACAGAGTGGTGGAACAAGAAGCTCAGAGATCTCGGCAAGTTTGCCATGACAGAAAAAGCCCCAGCAGAACCAATGGCTGCAATGAAAACAGGCCCATTGACATCCTGGAAATGCTTAGTAAAGCCAAGGATGAATACGAACGAGTAAGGAATTTTTTTTTTCCTAAAACATTATGAACAAATAGAAATGCTATTGGTACTTCTGAATAAGGGGCCTCATATCGCAGAATCACAGAACGGTTGGGGTTGGAAGGGACCTCCGGAGATCATCTAGTCCAACCCCCCTGCTCAAGCAGGGTCACCTAGAGCATATTGCCCAGGATCACATCCAGACGGCTTTTGAATATCTTCCAGGGAAGGAGACTCCACTACCTCTCTGGGCAACCTGTGCCAGGGCTCTGTCACCCTCACAGTGAAGAAGTTTTTCCTCAGCTTCAGATGGAACTTCCTGGGTTTCGGTTTCTGCCCATTGCCTCTTGTCCTGTTGCAGGGCACCACGGAGAAGAGGCTGGCCTCATCCTCTTGACAACCCCCCTTCAGATACTTGTACACGTTGACGAGATCGCCTCTCAGTCTTCTCCAGGCTGAACAGGCCCAGCTCTTGCAGTCTTTCTTCCTAGGAGAGGTGCTCCAGCCCTCTAATCATCTTGGTAGCCCTCCGCTGGACTCTCTCCAGGAGTGCCATGTCTCTCTTGTACTGGGGAGCCCAGAACTGGACACAGTACCCCAGGGGAGGCCTCCGCAGGGCTGAGGAGAGGGGCAGGATCACCTCCCTCGACCTGCTGGCAACACTGCCTAATGCACCCCAGGAGACCCTTGGCCTTCTTGGCCACAAGGGCACACTGCTGGCTCATGTTTAACTTGTTGTCCACCAGCACTCCCAGGTCCTTCTCTGCAGAGCTACTTTCCAGCAGGTCAGCCCCCAGCCTGTACTGGTGCATGGGGTTATTCCTGCCTAGGTGCAGGACCCTGCACTTGCCTTTGTTGAACTTCAGGAGGTTCCTCTCTGCCCAGCTCTCCAGCCTGTCCAGGTCCCTCTGAATGGCAGCACAGCCTTCTGGTGTGTTAGCCTCTCCCCCCAGTTTAGTATCATCAGCAAACTTGCTGGGGATGCACTCTGTCCCTTCCTCCAGGTCATTGATGAATAAGTTGAACAAGACTGGGGTCTGCTAAAATGGCATGCCCTTTGATTTCTGAGGAGGGGTAATCATTCTTGCGTATGTGGATGTCTTGTGCAGTAGACTCTAACCAGAGATTGCAAAGTAGCACTTCTAATCCAAAATTTAGTAGGCACATATGTTCATATGTTCAAATTGCTTCCTCTTTGGGGGAAAATACAGTTTTGAAGACGGATACCTGGAGATGCAAACACAACAAAATAAAACATTTTCCTGAAACAGTTGCATTAGCTGCTTAATTTCAGTTCTCATCTACTGTCCTGTTCATTGCCAGAAGGAAACATGGGCATTTATATGTAACACTGTAGACCACTGGATATGCCTGGTTTTGTGATCTTGAAGTTGCATTTGGTAAATATTCCTTATAGTAGCTGACTTTTTTTTTTCCCCCCCCCTCTGTACCAAAAGTCACTGGGAGAGATCTTTGATTATGGCATGAATCATAATAGAATATTAATTGTAGTTGGATGCTGAAATGTTTTAAGGCATTAAATAATGCAGCAGAAACTTTTAACTGTCCCATGTCCATGATACAAATGCAATTACTTTGGAGTGAGGGGCAGGGAACATGGGGGGGGGGGGGGAATCATATTTTAAAGTGAGTGTGAGATTTGCATGATGCATGCCCTCATAAACTGTATTTCTGTATTTCTTAGTTAATTGGGTAGCTCTTTGTCAACCTCTTTGGTTATCTTTCATTGTTAAGAAAGCCTGTCTGGAGACTGGTTCTTAACACATCAGCTGTGTTTGGTTTAAATAGTGGACATTCTCTGCTATTGTTTCAGTAGCTTTGTTTTCGAAGTGATGCCTTGCTCCTTCCCTCAAGTAAACTGTACTAGGAGGAAGTCTCTTTGATTTCAGGAAAGACATGTTGAATGGGTTCTGTGATCCAGGTTGAAAATGTAGCTTAATAGACCCATTTTACAAAGTTAAGATCTCTGCTGCTATGAGAATTTTGTTTCTGGGAATTGCAAGTAAAAATTACACCCAGTGTTGCCTATCTTTTCTTAGACTCGAAGTCTTCTAGAGTTAGAGGTAGATTTAGTCATTCACTATATCTGTAGACTCTATAAAGCATATTTTTCATTGCTGTAATCTAAGTATAGTAATTTCCTTCTGTTCCTTAGTGTACTACTCCTGTCCCTATCTACTATACATCTATCCTTTAAATTAATTGATTTCAGAATGGTGATTCTGGTATCATTTGCCAGCACTAAGTTCACAAGTTTACGTAATTTGTTATTAGCTTCTGAAAATTGTTAATTCTTTTTGAGAATGTTTTAAATACAGATACAAAAATAACCTGCTTCTAACTCTTTGAGTATTGCCGCTGCTGGAGGTGAGCGTATCTTTGTAAGAAGACTAGCATTGTGAAAGTAGCAGCTTTTGTGAGGGTATGGAAGGAAATGTCAAAACCTGAATGACTCATCTGTCAATGTTATATCAATTGAGAAGCACTTCAAGAAATAGAAAGCTTACAAAGAGCACAAGAACTCACTGTTGTGATAGTGCCCTGTTAGGAGTGTGAGGTCTCTCTCCCTTTTTGTTCTTGCAATATCAGCTGATAGGTGTTTCCAACAGGTGGTTCTTAAAAATGACTCGAAGGCTATTCCAGTGCTTCCTCTCTCTTAATTTTCCATTTGTGTTTTTGTGTGTGTGTGTTTGTTTTGTTTTAATGAGAGAGAGCTGAAGACCTTTTGCTGGGAACAGAGTTCCCAAGCATCATGAATGAAGCTCTGTAGACAACTAAAATACTGATCAACAAACAACGTGGTGTGCAGATTTCATGGTGGACAGACAGTCTGCAATGGCTATCGTATGGTCCGAAAATACACAGGGCATGGACTACAGTAGAGCTACTGTGTAATTGACTATTTGCTTCTCGGTGCTTCTAGAACACTAATAAAACTTGAACAACTATTTCAGTGTTTTGATTTTCTCCCTCCTTTGTGTTTAAGCTATAAAATGAATCAGCTAAACATAATTCCATAGCCTCTTGTGGTTGTAGTGATGTAGAAGTAGCCAGATAAAAAGGATTGAGCAGTGCTGGTTACACTTCAGAAGCTTCTCAGAACTTTCTGTTGAGCACCTCTGCTTTGGCAACAAACCTCAGGCCCGTTAACTTGGGAACTTCTTGCAGCCAGACATTTTCTACGTCAGTGTTAATGGGATTAAATAAACATACTTATTGTGAAGATAGTTGGTTTCTTGAGAGACCTTTCCTATCTTAATTTTCAAAAACTATTTTGTGCCAATTTTCAAAAATTATTTTGTGCCTTCAAGTAATTATGCATAAATATGTATTGAGGAGCAGAAAGTACTTATCTGCCTGGTATATTCCAGATGGATCATACAGTAATCCTTGTGTGCAGCCCACATGAGATTGGCGGAGTGTCAGCATGAGAAGGGGGCACGGAGAGTGAAAGAGAGATTTATGGAGGTCTGAGTGATTTAATCTAGGACTCTAAATCAGCTTAATCCTTCAAGTACTTGCTACATCAAGTCCATATGTGAAAATGAATGAATTCCAAGGGGTTTTTGTTTGTTTTTTAAATGAAGCAAATGGATTCTTTTTATAGTGGGTTTTTCTTGTATGTGCTCCAGTGTGAGAACAGAAACATATTGCAGCTTCAGTGAAAAGAAAAAACGTCCTTTGTCTGGCTTTTGTAATCATGTGGTAGTCCAGCATCTCAGGCCTTAGGTGTTTTTTACCTTCAAGTTGGCTTGCTAAAAAAGGGAA